ATTTTTACTGTCTGGCGAGGCGCGCAAGTGGTTTCAAACACAACCCAGCTGCGATCGGACGCAGCTAAAAAGAGAATTACATTGTACAATATTGCGAGGCGGCTTGTGTGATCAGAAGGGCAAGCAGATGAAGATTTACAAACTAATCAAGACGAGCTCCACGATATTAGGTACCAAATTCCAATTTCTCTTCATTTATACCCGTAATTATGTAAAGGTTTCCACAAAATCACCATAAAACTCACTCTAAACACTATTAAATTTTCCCTTGTCACGAATTTGACATGAAAGTGTGCGACTTCGCCATTTTGACGCGAATACAAGTTGAGAGGGGAAAAGTCACCAAAATTAGTGAACCTTCCGACAGTGGTCATCTGAGCACCAGTGGAGAATCGGGGTCGTGTCAAGAAATGGGTTATTATTTTCCTAACACAATGTGGTGCACACCCAGATCTTCTGGTTACTTACGTTTGAACGCAAATCCCTCAGTTCAATGTGAAAATAAAGAGTTGAGGTGGGATGGAAGTGTCTAGGCAGAGGTATTACAGAAGATGCTTGGATATGGGGTATACTAAACTTTTTGAGGTTTGAGATGGGGTCTTAAGACAAAAAATTATTAAGCAAGATAGATCGACCGATCTGGATGCGAAACATCGACTCCTTCTGATGTCTTCTCGGCGACCACTACGGATTCTGCTACAAAGCATGATGCGCGTAGCATAATTTTTTCCGAAGTTAAAACGAAAACGATCTATCCGAGCCCACTGCCGCAATATTAAAGATAAAGAAATTGAGAATGGCACGAGAAAAAGAAGTAGGGTTCTGATAATATTATTACAATTGTGCTAAGAGATTGGTCCATTAACCTGTCAAGTTTGAAAAATGTAGCAAGATGAAAGACTAAAAACTGGGTCCAATGGCGAAGTGGAATCGCTTTAAGACGCTCAAGAATTTGCAAATAAGCTTTCATGTGCTTTGTATATTATAGTCTATGTTAAACGCAGCAATTCAAGATCCAGTTTAATCGGGGCGAACCAAGGTTCTACATTAACCTCAGTTGTGGGACCAAGCACACTGGTCAGGATTATAAGAAATATACAGCGGCAGCAATATAATAAATTTGACGCGGAGGATTTAAGCGGGAAAAATGTTTGCGTGAAAGGACCAAGTTATCTACATTTTGGATAGCAAGATGAGAAGTTAGTTACCCTGGCGGTCGAATGTCATTCCGAAGCTTAAGCGTACAACGCGATCAAGGGCGTTCTAACAGGATACTACAACTAATTGTCAGTCTATTCCGTAATGAATTCAGACGGTAAGTTCGGCATTCTGTGGGTCGGGGTTCAAATGGGGCAGCAAAGTTGCGCCATCTTGTAGAAGAAATCAAGACCGAACAATAATCAGCAGTAGTATGCGCCACTGAAACCCTCGTTTCGACCCACAAAGAACATTTGCAATCGTTTAATTCAAATATGGAACAATTTTAACAAGAACAACAAAAAATAACCGCTAAAGATAAAACTATATAAGCTAATAAGGCTGCAAGGTTTTGTATATAAGAACGCATATCTCAAGATGCTATCGATCGTGTTGCAACACAGTCAATCTGATATCGCATTCCTGCATAATATGATCCTGATTATTCGGGCAGGGATAATCTCCGACGTCCGTTGTAATTCTCTTTGAAAGCTTAACAGAGTTTGGAGCACTTCTTTTTCGCAATTAGGTCTTAGTTGTAGTAAATAAGTTTTTAAGGAAGTTTCATTGAACAAAAAGGTTAATCAAGAAACCGCATATATAGAATTAAGTAGACACTCCTGTGCCATCAAGCGACGAGCGACAAAATTGTATGATGGCAGTTAACAGACATCATACAAATTTGTCGCTCGATTAATACACTAAGATAGTTGATTGATCCTTCACATACGAAAACCCTATTTATATCGTTTTCTGGTACATGACATGATGTATCATTTGCCTGACAATATTCTTATGCACGACAGCAAACGAAAACTACGATTTTGGAGCATCTGTATCACCTTTAGGTCACGTGATCCGAGATAAAAGATGGCTATGCGTATAAAGACGTGCACGATACTATTACAATTCCAGACGTTCGTGATTTATCTTAAGAGTAACTTACTGAAATTGGAGATGAAGCGAAAGTGTTGAGAGCGGTAAGTCTCCTAAACACTAATGTAGTAAAAGAGGAAATGTAATTCTGCTGGAGCGGGAAATCTGACAAATTTTAAAACCTTTTGAATGACAGCTACCACATTTTTTCGTCTTATCTCGTCTCACACCTAACCTTATCTTTTTGTTTTTGGTTTCAACAGCAAATTTACTATCGTTCTTATCTTGAGTTAGATTTCGTTCATCTGCTAAAACATAGCGAAGAAAGCAATTTGTTAGATAGAAGTCGCTGATCAGAGCGCACTCAAACAAACTAAACCCGGTAAATGTTTGATTAAGCGCAGTGCGTCCAACGCTGTCCCAGCTTATAACCTTATACCACCTTCCATTTGTTTTAGCGTGCAAAAGACAGCGAGTTCTTGTCCGGTGGGTCTTTATACGCTGGTGTTCTTTATATAATGTTTTGAAGCGTATTGGTCACTTGACCGCTGCCTTATGTTTGCAGCCCGACAAAAACGTCGCCAACCTATCAGTTTTTTCGAGGCCAAAAAAACAAAGTAGCTAGTTGAACCCCTCAGAGGCTTTGGTATCTGAGATGCATCATTGAGGTGGACTACGCAACGTTTTGACGACGTAGAATGCGAATGTCGACAAATTAAAGAAATTCGTTGAGCCGTAACAAAATATGTAAAATTTTAGTATTTACTCTTCGATAACATTTTACAGAGAGCGTCCGTTTGGGTCAAATTCTCGATGTTTTATAGCGATTTCCAGAAGATAAATTGAATTCGGCGAATATATCGCCATTTATCACCGTTGGGTCGCCATGATGAAATTTCTAACAACAGGTTCACGGAATATGACCAAAGATTAACTTAGAAGGTATAGGCAAAGCGGAAATTCCTAGTTTTCGCCATAAAATTAAACCCTGCGCAAATTCTAATCATGACACCCTTCTCGCGTTGACCAAGACTTAGCTTATCGTCACTCTAACATTTGGACACGATTCGAATTAACAACTTCCTGATTAAAAAGGCTCCACATGGAAAAATTACCAGTACCATCTTCAGCGACTGCTTCTATAGCGATGCCATCATTACACGCTGCTTTACCATAGCCGACATCGCCGTATACAGATCGGGAAGCAGTTGTGCACTCTGAAGCCATACGCAGCCACGATAGCAACTTCAAAAATCGAAATAGTATTTATTACGTCTTAAATAATTATTTAAATACAAATCGTACCGGACATCAAACGAGACCTGACATCCTCACACTATCTCGTAAAAAACTGTTTCAAATCAAAGTAAAGTGTCTACTATTTTACTCCTATTATGATGATGGGTATAGTACTTGTTGGCATCTGTGTATAAAGATAGTAAAAAATGATGACATACATAGTTCTTCGCAACATTAAATTGTAATCGAGTACTTCCAACAACAGAATCAAAAGTTCTTAGACGAAACCGAAAGGGCTCTCATGATCAAGCAGAGCCAGAATAAGGGCTCGAAGAAGTCTAATCGACCCTGCTTTAAATTTGCAATTGATTTTTGTCTTAATACCAGTCATTTATCTATTTTGAGAAGATTAAAGAATTGCCGATGCATATTAGTGTGGCGGAGTGGGTTGCCAAAACTGTTTGACGAGACTTAAACCACTCACTGTGCCGGACTGCCAACTGTCGGAGAGGGTACCCCGATGCCGCTTGTGGACCTTGACTCACATTGTGTACCGTCGGTTAGCGGGTTTCACTCTTCGGAAGACTTGGTGATGATTGTAGACGTTGGCCTTGATGGAGATCGACCTGGGGGAGGCAAGCGGATATGCTTTAGTCGGAGTCCAATTTAGGCGACCACTCGATCGACTTGGTCGAGAGTGGTCTTATAACCAGTTGTCTCAGGTGCTGGTAGCGTCTAGTCTTTACTTGTTGCGGGGCTGTTAACCGCCTGGCCTTTACGCTTCTCTCCCTTACCACCAAGATTAAAACCCGCTTCTTCTAGCAGGCTTGAGTTGGGGTGGGTGCTACTCTACGAACCCACATGCCAATATACTTCTTGGGTTTCTTCTTACACTTGTGTTTTACTGACAACTGTCGATTCGATGGGTAGGCCAAACAGATCTCTGGCCCGGAACAGTTCGGTAGACTTACCAGATTCTTAGCGCACGACACGTCGTGCTACTTAGATTGCAAATTGAGTAGTGTTTGATTTTTTTTCTATCCTTTAAACTCCTCTACTCTAGTTTTGCATTGCGCCTGGGTTCGATATGATGAGTGGCCAAAAGCTACCAGACATTAAGGGGCCAAGTCTAACTATGGGTGACCAGGTTGGACTACGAGTGACCGAGAGGAGGGGCCAAGTCGACCTATGAGTGATCAGGTCGGACTACGGGACCAAGGCCCACCTTGTGCGACCAGGCCGACCGACGAGTGGTTGAGAATGATCCATATAGGTACCGTTTTACTGGTACCGTCATTCGGTATGACCCTGTTAGCGGTAACCACAACTGCTCGTCACGTTTGGACCCAACGGCCACATTTTTCCTTGTGAACTTTAGGTCTCCGGCCCCTTTCCCGGCCGCGATATCCCACGTCCGTCCGGCTCATCGACCCTTAAGTCCATCATTTTTGAACACTCGCTTCACCACAGCTGCTACTTGCACTTGCGCTACCGTACAGGGATTTGAGCACGAGCATGTCTTTATGACGCCAGTCCCGTAACCTCCACCTTTTCTTGCGGCCGATATCTTGGCAGCGTATACTTTGTGTGTTCGTAGCGAAGTCTTCACCTGGATCGTACTCACCGTCCATGGGTCCGGCTTCAATAACTGCTTCACCAGCACCTTCACCCTCAGCAGAGGTCTTTGCTTAAGCAGACCCATTTTTCGCTTTGCCTGTTGTCCTAGGTGAACCAGATTCGTCACTGTTGGTGAACGCTGGTGAGGCCTTCATGACCACGCGGTCAACTTCCCCACCGATGGAGTCGTCTCCGGTCACCTCTGGTGTGAGTGTGCCCCCACTCGTGACTGCTACCAGTATTGATGCCGTCGATGTCAATACGTCCCCACTGAGGAACTTCTTCGGTGGCCGTATAACCATGAGCGTACCACCCGTTGATGATGTGACGTTGCCTCGCCTGGTTGAGGCCTGTGATTGTCTAAAGACCTTGATGTTGATTCCTTCACCATATTTCTGGTCCTTTCGAAGTGAGCGCTTGAAGAAGGAGTTAGGTGACTCCTGCACCCTCATTTCACAGTTTCGCGAGAATCTACAGCGTGGGATGGCGCTGACCAACCACTGGTGGCGGCAAGTCGAACTTCTACGTAGTCGGATATACGTCCTCGTAGCTGATCTAAATTACTCCCATTTCTTAAGCAAACCTCTAACAAGTAGCACTGCTGTCGTTCAAGAGATGTTAAAAGACCCGACCGCAGGTGATCGACCCCCTGCTTCAGTATCCGGGAAGCGGTTCCTACGAAAATCCCACCACGCCCCATTCTAACCGGCATAGCGAGCTAAAGTGAGTGCACCGGAAGCTCTTACGGCGGGAAAGACGGTCTCCACGAGCTCCGGGGCAGCTGTATCGCCGATCACGCCGACATCGGCTGAAGCGAGCTAAAGTGAGTGCGCCGGAAGCTCTTACGGTGAGGAAGACGGTCTCCAAGAGCTCCGGTGCAGTTGTATCGCCGATCACACCGACAACGGCTGTAGCGACCATCAGTTCCCTCAGTGAGCCGATACGGAACGAATTTTCAGATTTTTGTCGGTTAGTCGTCGATTACAAAATGCGTCTCTGCTGAATCCTGCATATACGCTTCCTACGCCATAGGTACCGACCCCCCCCCGGTCTCCTACCAAGGACGTGTTTGGGTCGTTCGAGTATGAGACAGAGCCGTCTTCTTGGAAGAAGGGTGATTAACCCAGCGGCTCGCAGTTCTCTTACGACAGCCGCCAGTACGCGCTTCCGAAAGAGGACACAATCCTAAGATTAACTCAAGCGAGGGATCTCACCGCCAGTGGAGTGGCGCCTTAGTCGGTCGTCCTTGTCAACTCCTGATTTCTTGTCTCCATGACGCCTGGAGATACGGCCGACCAATTGGAGATACCCTGGTGTTTGATCAGTCTAGCAGACGGAAAACCTTGATCGTCCAGCGAAATGAAAGCCTTCGCTAGACATTCCTACCATGTTCGGGAGCCTAATGGCTACGAAGCCTTGGTTTGCCACCAAGGTCCCTCTTCCTCTTGTATCTTTTAAGGTGGTCGGCTGGTTCTCTGACCTGGCAGAAGCGTACAAGACCTTCAAGACCGAACATGCTTAGGCACTGTAGGATTCTAATCACTGCCTTCGGATCTCGAAGTACCGAGCCCGCGCCAGCTCCTTAATCACTATATACTACAACTACCGAAAGAATTGGTGGAGCAGGGCATTTTTGGCGTAGCATGATGTTGTCGGTCGGATCTTTGTAGGGGTGGCCGTTTATCGATGTAAGATTGATATCTTTTTGGCCTTCTTCCGGCACCTTCCTCTCCCTCGCGGCGTGGTTTGTAGGTTTTAAAGTTGTGAGAAGGGATTGGATTAGGTGGACCTGCTGGCCGCACTGCACGTCTAGGACTCCACGTGGCTATGGATCTCCCACTACCGACTCACCACCCAGGAATAAGGTCGCCAGATTTCAGAACAAATTGGTTCGTCCTTCGTAGACGTAATCTATCAAAACACCATGCTTTCAATATTTTTAATTCTAATTGTCCGCTCGTTGCATGTTAGCCACTCTGTGATGTTGTTTGCTTTTATCCAGCGTTGCACTGCCTTGGTCACTCATGAAAAGCTATGCCCGACTCCAGATAAATCCTAATATGCCTTAGGCCACACTTAGTCGGTCCGATTGAGTCACGGTCGAATTTTACATAGCCTCGGTTGACTTTATAATCTGGTCGCTCACGGAGGTCATCTCCAATCCACAGAAGACCAGGCCGACCAGCAGATACCCGGTATCCTCCTCCGCGGATAGTCTTCGTGACTCTGCGTCACTATCAAACGGTTATAAATAATCACTTTGCTTTGAAACTCTCGTAAAAAAAGCTCCACGCGCCAAATACATATTGTCAACCCGTGAGGGGTATGCTTGACCCATTTAACGGATCAAGAACTCGCGTAGCTGCCTACCGCAACGCGTCTTCTCGCTGACAAGGATTTCTAAAATCTCTTCCACTTCGTTTTGCCTTGCTCCATTTTACGCGTCCAGCTATCCTCCAGCACCAAATGTGCTTTAAGTCGATTCGGTCGGCCTCGTTCACTGTCAGTCGGTCACCTGGGCGATCAGGGAGCTCTTTGACCCTTTCCAGCTTAGAAATGTGAACGATCAGGAATAACTTGGAAATCTTATCCCTTACTCCCACCCACGCAGCATATACACCGACCAACTCCAAAAATAGAACGGACTATACCAGAGGTGAGCCAATTTTTCGGCGTACGCTCCCTTCACACGATCTACTTAGAGCCACACTTGGATACCTGGCCAAACCTTGTGACCGACCACTTGTTTGTTAGAAGTTAGCATTTGGGCATGACTGGACGACCGTAAATACTCGTTTACCTGTTTTTTTGCACGCTGGAAGTGACTCTGAATGTGGTATATCCACCTTCGTGCTATCGACCCTGGACATCTGGTGTTCAACACGAGTAATTTTGCCTCCATGGAAGTTATAGTATCCGACCCGTAGACCAAACAGAATGGTGTCTTTTTTGCACCCTATCGTGTGCAGTGTTCTGTGCAAACTTCTTCGTTCTGCGTATTCTTCCCAAACTTGCTGTGCCACATCTGAAGCATCCATCTTGATATAATTTTTAAGGCTTGGAGCATTCTGTACGCAATTCTGTTCGCCTGTGGTCGGTAAGCCAAAGTTGCCCATTGACGCTGCCCCACCATGCGATAGAACGCTCGATAGAAGTCCGACATGAAACTTTGGTTCCCAGTCATGGCGGAACACCTCGCTGGCCTCAAAACGCCAAAACACACGTTTCATAACCTTCGGCTACCGTCTGAGCAATTCTCGAAGCACTTGCCATGGCCATCACAAATCAAGTGAATAAGTCGACCCAAATCAATGGTTCGTTGTTGCCTTTATGTGAATTGGGCAACGAGGGGATAAGGTCCATTGCTATGACTCGGAAAGGGTAGGTCGCCTCGCCATTACCTGGGGGTTTTCCTTATAAAATAGGCCCTTCTTATCCCGTCTTGCAATCTCCACATAATCCCTCGTGTTGCTGCACACTTCAAAACAAGCCTCTCAATTGCAAAATCGGCAAATCCGATAGTAGGTGCTACCGACACCTTAACGATCGCCCTTCAGGCTAGCATGGTATAAATGTAACACGTCGGTCTGGAGGGATTCGGGGATCATTATTTGGGCAGTCATTTATCGTTCGCCCTCGTCGTTATTGTGGACGGGACAGAATACCAGTAATCGTTCTTCGCTGACCTCATAATCTTTGGCCATTTGCTGCATGACTGTGCTGATTCTGCGAATAGGCCGCCTGGATCCCCTTCTACATGCGCCTTCAGATCCATAATCCATCTCTCCTCCTCTTGAGCCTTCAGATACGTTCCACTCGCAGCTGTTGTATCACATCTCCTTGAGTCGGTTCTCCGGATATTCTAATGGGTGGCCTTTATTAAATCACCGCGATAACTCTAGCCGTCAGATTCTGGTCTTTGGGACCAGCAGCTCTGGCAGTCAGCTGATAACTTCCAACCCCTGGACACTCTTCTCTCGTTTTTTTTACTCGAACTCTCCTTGTCTGTGTAATTCTTCACTAGCCATCTGGTCCGCACTCTGGTCCCAATCGAGCTTTACGTGGAGTATCTGGTGGGAAGTCCACGACTGGAGCTTGATCAGATCTCTTGCACGCAATGGAGACAGCCCTGCAGCCTTGCACTTGTTTTCTCCGTGCATTCGCCGGACAAACAGATTGGAGTCTCCACAGAAAATTAGCCGCCGTCGTTCCAATATTTTTTACAGCTCGAAACCCTCTAACGTGCCTTCACGTTCGGCCTCGTCGTTCACCGTGGATTCTTTGAGCTATTTGGAGGCAGCGCTTCCTACTAAACACTTAGACAGGCTCCATACGACGGTGCTACAAGCCTTCTCTCCTCGTTATACACGAGCCGATCCAAAAATCTCTGTAACTGTAGGTCCTCGTCCTTCTCCACATTGAGTGAAGATAGGTTACCCTTCAGTTTTGCCTGTTTCTTAAGTTTCATAGCCGATTGGATAGAGTCTACACTCTCGCGGGGGTAGTACTGGCTGTTGACGCCCCACAGCACCTAGTTTTAGCCTTTCTTGCACTTCACAATCTCTGATGTCCACTGGGACAAGAGAACGGCCCAATAAACCCAAACTCCCCTGCAATCCAGAGAATTTGACCAAACAGGCCAACGTCGAGTGTCTCGTTGATACTTTAAGAGGCCGGGTAGCCAGCATTGTAGAACAAGTTTCCAATATCCGTAACAATGCCAACACCTTTTTCTCCACGTTACTGCATTTTTATTCGTTGGTCTTGAGTGTCCAGCTCGTGTAGGTCACTGGCATAAAAAGGCCTATACATTCCTACACCATCGACGCTGAGATGGCCCATTCGCTCGCGTCACAACTAATTATCGCTTCTATCGATGGGTCGAAATGTCTCAAAATTGGCGCTGCTGGAAACTTGTTCTTATGCATAGCAAAAGAAACTTGGAATTGAGACCAGTTTTCTTCTTCTTCACCCGTGTTCACTAAGTGGTGACCATCCTTAAACTTGCATTGCCGCACGGGAAGGCACCACTTTAAGCTCGTATAGGTTCGACACAAATATCGCATAATCCACGATAAATCTGCTGTGATCATTCAGACTTCTCGAAGAACGACTGCATGACCTTGAGGGTTGCTGGTAGAAGTAGGATGAATTGTGCTTAGAGGTCCTTTGGGTGGGCTTCCAAGTCTTCTCTGGAAACCCGGTGGCCGAGGTAGTCGGACCTTCGACTTCCCCAAGAACGCTTGACTGCACTAATCGACAAATTACATTAGTCGCATGCGCGAAACAACCGTTCCACCTTGTCGCGTAACGCGTCCTGAGATTTAACGAATATTAATATGTCGTCTCTGTACGAATGAAGACCCATTATCGAGTGGCCTGACTCTGTTTCTGGTTCCCCCGACGCAAAAAAACCTTCTGGATTATCCAAGCTAGTTCCTGGAGTAAACGTAAGAACCCGAATAACGCGTTGTCCAAACGTCGCTGGTAGACCTGTGGTGCATTCTTGAGTCCAAATGACATCCGCAGCCATTCGAACAGTCCTAACGGGTGACGAAGGATGAAATTAACCTTGCCCTTTCGGTCATGCTGACGACCCAAAAACCACTTGCCATATTCAGGGAGCAGTACCACAACGCTCCGTTCAGGTCTTCCAGTAACTCTTAAATAAGTGGTATGGGGTAGAACATGAGTTGAGTTTAGAATTTTACGAACCGGAAGTCAATGCAAAACCTTATGTCTGCTCTCCCATGTCGATGTCTCATTTGGCGCCACGAGTGGCTTGTGGCAAGGTATTTAACGTTCCCATTAGCAGATGTCGCTTCATCCATGTTGATTGCCTCAATCGATCCGACTATTCAGGCGTATCACCATCCGAATCAGGAATCAAGATGTCCTTTAACTCGATGCCTTCGGGCAAGGGGTCTACTTCTGATATAACTGCCCCTCCTTGACTGAATTCTTCGTCCGAAAATATCCCGCTCTCAAAGTGCAAATCGGTCATCGGATTGTGCTAGGTCCTCGTGTTTAGTGCTTGCTTAAGAGAAACCGGCATCCATAGGCTGGGTGACGGTGATCTTCATTGGAAAAGTGACGGCGACTCCTAAGGTTGGGCAACTGCGGTCGTTTCTTCGCCTGTTGGTAATTCGTCCACTGGGAGCTGTTGGGATGAGACGCTCATCACCGAGGTGACCTGTTTTGGTCTCTGCAGAATATGAAATGGGGTCTCACATTGAGGTTTCTTACTAATGAAACTTCTTCTTCCTCCATCAGGTCCAAATGACGGTTGTCCTGGTCGGTGGTCAGTTAACACGCCAAATTCCAAAACTCAGCGTATTTTTAAGAGTCCACCTTGACGAACCTTAGTGTTCTTGGTATTTGATACTTCGCTAGTAACATGCCAATCCTGGTGTCGTCGTGTAGCTTTAAAAACCGTGTGCTGGCATTCGTAACCTTCAAGAACTGACGTCGGCCTACCCTTCAGATCACCGTAGGTTCCTCTCATCAGCCATAGAACACTCTACTCCGAATCGCTATTTTTAAAGGTACTTACACATACCCTTTAGCAGGCAATTGTGCGAATTGAACCAGCCTCACGTCGGTCACTCTGCCACCGTAAAGCGTTCGTCGGCCGGCTAGTTGTAGACGAACTTCATCTGGGAGACAGAGTGCTCCACCGCCCCAGGTCCAACAGGATACCAGCTGGGAATATGAATTCCATCCCCAAATTGCCTCTTGGCCTACAATACGGCTGATCTATACCCTGGAATATTCACCAAGTTTACGTTTATGGTGATCTTGATGCGAGTGCGCCCTTCTGTGGTATAAATAGATTTCCCAACACCGACACATTCTTGTCTTGCATTTTAGTTAATTTGGCAGCCTACCTTACGAGCACAAGCGAGATCCAAATGGACATCTCGGCAACAGCATCAAACTAAACGTTTGCGCGATCGTTGTTAGATTTTCCAGTAGCTTTGGTCAGCTTAAATCACTTCGAAGGAGCTTGCTTTTCCAACAGCCCCTACATTCGCCTAGTAGTAGGTCCAACTCCATCACTGCATCTCCTCGAGCAAAGACATTAGGGTCATTGAGACAAGCAACATGAACCACAGGGTAGCTTCCAATCGTCGATATTTTCCTAATCTTCTTAACCGCAGTATGTTCTTCAAAAAGCTTTTCCCCTGTGGTACCTATATCTTCTTCGAAGCTCTTCTCCGCATGTGTAAAAATAAGACAATCAGAACGCTCGGCACGTACCAGATCAAACCTGGCGAGCGTTCTAATTTATCACCCCATCCTCCTTCTCTGGACACAACCCGGCGTGCTTGTTCTATTCGCTTGCCATGATGCAAGCCGTAGAGAGGAAGTCGGTGGCACTGTGATCAAAGAATTTTGACATTGTTTGTAGTGTTATCTTTTTCGTGCTAGCATGATGGACTAGCTGTTCTTGTTCCTTATCACTCCTGTCCAATCAATCACCCATCCACGCACCTGTCCAATCAATCACTCAAATGATCCTCAAACGCCATTCTAAGTCGTCAGCCGTTTCCTCAACTGTACCTTCAACCGTGCCTTTTTCTAAAATTTCTCCTCGGCTACGACTTACCGTCCTAACCGAGACCGATCATCTCACACAGCGCCGCGAGCTTGACTGCGTCCAGCGCCTTCGTCAAAAGATCCGCGACTTGTTGCTCCGAGCGGACGTACTGCGACACGATGATCCCGCGTCGAGCGAAGTCGCACACGAACTTCGTGCGAACAACGATGTGCTTGGCCTTGAGAGATGATGCCTCGCCGGCCAGCTGCTTCAGTGCCGCCTGATTGTCGACGTGTAGTACCATCGGTAGCGCCAGCGGCTTACCGATCTCGTTTAGCATCTCCCTGATACCAAGAAGCTCGCGCGCCTGCTCCGATGCAGCGACGAACTCCGCTTCCACCGTCGAGAGCGAGACGCCGCCTTGCTTCTTCGACGTCCAGCCGACCGGCATGCCGTTCAGGCGGATGATGCCGCCAGTCAAGGACTTCCTGTCGCTCTTCTCCGCCGCAAAGTCGGCGTCCGAGTACGCCTCGAGCTGGATCTTGACGTCGAGGTGCTTCACTGGTTCCATCCGAAACTTGTAGTCACGCGTCCCTTTCAGATACTGCGCGATGCGTTTGGCAAGCTTCATATCGTGGAGTCGCGGCTGATGAGTCTGACGCGTCGCCTTGTGCACGGCGAACGCAATGTCCGGCCGTGTACAACGCGCGATCCACAGCAGTCTGCCGACGAGGGACTGGAACATCTTGATTGTTGGCGCTCCCTGCACCTTAGTTTCGGTAAGCAGCGCGCTGTCATCTGGTAGCACGTCGTAGCAGTCAGCCCCAATCGGTGCTTTCGTCGGGTTTGCGTCCTCGAGCCCATGCTCACGCAGGAGCTCGCCGATCGCCTCGGCCTGGTCGACCACGTAGCCACCGCTGTTGTCAATCGTGACACACATGCCGAGGAACTTGTTAACGGTACCGAAGTTCTTGGTCGAAAAGCTGCCGAGGTTGACAAAGTATCAATCGACGGGTGCAGCGTCCGTGCCGGTAACAAGTAGATCGTCGACGTAGACGCCCACGGTGACCAACTGCCCACCCTCGACTTGGTAGTATAGACACATGTCGGAAATACATTGCCGGAAGCCGGCTTCGAGCAGCCGAGCGTGCAGGAGCTGGCTCCTGAGTCGGCCAGCCTGCTTGAGGCCGAACAGGCTCTTTCGTAGCTGCAGCACTACTTCCTTCTTTGTCGCTGCGCCTACCATCTTGAGCGCGTCTTGATCAATTGTCATTGCTTGCGGCACCTGGAGTAGTAGCTCAAGTGAGCTTCCTTGTCAGCCTTGACATACGCGTTGGGGATGTCGCCATGCTTTGCCGGGACACCCCATAATCGCCGCAAGCGCCAAGATCACCTTCACGGACGACATGTCTATGACAGCCGCGAATGTAAGCTGGTAGTCGACCCCAAAAACTTGCTCGTTGCCGCAGGCGACCAGTCAAGCCTTCAGGCGCTCTATCTCACCGTGCGCGTCGGTCTTGGTCTTGAAGACCCACTTCGTGTGCAGAGTGTTGCTGCCCGGAGGTCGTTTAATCAAGCGCCACACGCCATTGTCTTCTAGAGCTTGGAGCTCTTCGCGCATGTACTTTTCTTAGCCTTCACGCTTAGTGCTGCGTAGTGCTTCACCGTAGTTCTTAGGATCGCACTCATACACATGAGCCACCACGCTGTCGTCGCCAGCTGGCTCCTCCTGATAGCCGGCGCCTGTGCGCGTTTAGTTGCGCCGCGCTTCCGGTGAGCCGCGAGTGTCCACGACTTCGATTTCTTCTTGCCGGTGCGTGTCGTCGGCGATGCGGCATCGTCAGCAACCGGCGACTCTTTGCTTGTTGCCGCTGCCGCTGGCTCCACAATTTGATCTTCATACTCGAGCGCGCGCTGCAGCTGACCGTTTTGCTCTGCGCTGAGCGTCTCGACGTTGCGCGCATGCTGCGTGATTGTGACTTTGCTCTCCTTCTGGAGGAAGACGCGAAATCCCTTAATCTTGTCGCTCCGCCCAATGATCACGCCGACTTGTGCGCGCTGCGCGAGCGAGTTCTTGCCTGGGTCACGGTAGACCGAGCAGATAGAGCCAAAGGCGACGATGTCGCGCAGATCCGGCACTTGCTTAATTGGTACCTCGATCGGCGACGCGCGCTTCGCATTCCCGCTCGTTGGGCTGCGGTTGAGGTTGTACGCCGCGTACTCAACCGCATCGCCTTAAAATGTCAATGGCAGTCGGCTGGCAAAGATCATGCTGCGCGCCATGTTCAGGATCGTCCTGTGCATGCGCTCGGCCTTGCCGTTTGAGGCCTGATTTCTAGCCTCGCTGATCTGCCGCGCGACGCCCGTTCGCTTGCAGAAGAGGTCGACATTTGCGTATTCGCCGCCGCCATCAGTGCGTAGCACGTGGATCCGGCAGTCGAACTGGCGCTCAAAGAACGCGAGGAAGTGCTCAAACTTCTTGGCTGCCTTGTACTTTGTCGGCGCCAGGAAGACACGACAGTAGTTCGACTTGTGATCGACAAACTTAACAAGGTAACGATTGTGCAATCGATCCTTCGGGGTCATCGGAACCTTGAGGTCTGAGCAGATCACCCTGCCAACTCTGTCGATCGGTGAGTTTGATCCAGTGTCCTTCTTCGACTGCAGGTTTCTTGTTTGCTTGTCCTGTGCGCAATAGATGCACGTCGGGCGCTTGCGATTTGTTAGTCCGATGCCGGACGCGGGGTCTCTCGCCATACGCTCGACTGTGTCGTACGCGAGATGCCCAAGCCTTCGGTGGCTGCGCAACAGCGAGCCGCTTTGCGTGTCCGACTCGGATTCTTCCGGAGCTGTCGGGTCGTCAGGATCGCCATTTGCACGTCGCTAGGAGCTCGTGGCTCGTGAGTCGCTGCGACTGTCTGGACGTAGAGCACATTGTGGTCCATCGCCACATCGAACGCGACTTGGCCATTGCTGCGCCGTGCCAACACGCGCGACTCGCCGTCGTAGACGAGCCCGAACCTCTTGAACTCGAGCTTACCGTAGGAAATGATGTTGCGTGATAGCTCAGGCGCCAGATACACGTCCGTTAGCGTCACATCTTGCTGCTGTCCTCTCGCGAGCACAGTCAGCACGACGCTTCCGACATGCGTTAACCTGATGGTCTCCCCATCTACCAAGTGGCACTCTTGATCGCAGTCCCTCGCGTCGCGCAGCAGGGATGCGTCGTTCAAAAGGTGGCGGATGGAACCGCTGTCGAGTATCCAGTCGTCATCTTCTTCATCGCTGTCGTTATCAATCGCCATCGCCAGACTTTGACCGGTGGCGCGCGAGCCGTTGCGACCTCTTCCTTCACCAACAGCTAGCGTGATGCTGCCGCCGTCTTTTAGGCTTCTGCCCCTCTTCTTGTCGTCATTCTTCTTGATGCGACAGTCCTTCTTCAGATGGCCGACCTTCCCACACCCGTGGCAAGTGCGTGTTTCCCTGCGCGACACGGACTCGTCTACGTGCGCGACGACCTCCTTCCCGAAGGATCTTCCTGATCGAGAGTCCATCTCGATTGCTTGCGCGAAGTGCGCGATCTCTTCCGCGTGCACGAGGTAGTCGGTGCGGTGCGTCTGGTACTTCGCCATGAGTATTTCCGACAGCTCAGACGAGGCGTAGCGCACGATGTTGTCCAGAACCTGCTGCTCAGCGCCGCCCGCAGCTTCGCTGACAGCGACCAGATACAAGTAGTGTTCTGGCCAGGATATCTTGCTCTCTTTCTTCGACGTGAAGAGTTTCATTGCTAGAGCCACGGTTATCGTCGTCTTGAACGTGTCCAGCACGCACTGCATCGCGTACTGCAACGTAGGCAGCACGGAACACCACGTGTCGACCTGCTTGCTGAAATACCGCTCGGCAGTGCCAGTGAGGTACTGCCCGAGCACGTCAGTCTTCACATTCTCGCTCCACAGGAAACCGCAAGACTCCTGTGCCATGTCGACCTGGCGCCAAAACGTCTTGCCCCAGTCGAAGAAGCCGGACCCGAGTCCAACGTACACCTCGGTGCCATCGAACTTGCGGATCGCCAGCTTGCGCTGCCTGACATCTAGAGTGCGATACTGCATCGGCATCAATTGTTGCCGCTGGTGTACTGGCTGCCCTGGAGCTTCCGGTATCGCCTGGGGCACTGGTGGCGGCTGGTATGGCGGCAATGAGGCAGGCGGCTGAGGCAACGGATCAGCACGGTGCTGCAGCTGCTCTCCCGCTCGCATCCGTATATCTTTGAGCCGCGCTGGTCCACGCCGCAGTTGCTGCTGAGGCTGCCGATCGTGCAAGTCCTCAAGCTCCATTGCTCCGCCGTGGAGTCGCCCTGCGAAGTCCGCCCCGAGCTCTGATCGGAACAGCTCGCTCTTGTGAGCGCCGCGCATGCGCTCGTCTTCGTCCATGCGTGCTTGGGACGCTTCCATCTTCTGCATTCGCAAGTCCATGCCCGTGAGCATCTCGAGAACCCTCGCCAGTGCGTCCGGCTCCTCGCTCCTTGCGTGAGCGATGGCAGAGACGATCGTAGCAGGCGCGGCCGCGGCCCTTTCGTGACCGGTTGCTGGCGGCGCCTGTGCCGCGTTATCGTCTTCGTTTCCTTCCCGTCTTGGGCTCATAACCTATTCACTTGCCATGATGCAATCCGTAGAGAGGAAGTCGGTGGCACTGTGATCAAAGAATTTTGACATTGTTTGTAGTGTTATCTTTTTCGTGCTAGCATGATGGACTAGCTGTTCTTGTTCCTTATCACTCCTGTCCAATCAATCACCCATCCACGCACCTGTCCAATCAATCACTCAAATGATCCTCAAACGCCATTCTAAGTCGTCAGCCGTTTCCTCAACTGTACCTTCAACCGTGTCTTTTTCTAACATGGTCGAGTTGTACCATTGACGGATCGAGTTATGAAACTCTTCCATATGGTACTTTCCGTCCTCGTGGGTCTCTCCACACCCCTTGCACACAAACAAGCAATGATCCGTTGGGTTGCCCTTCTTCCCACAGCGGTCACACGTATTTTGTTTCCACAAACCCAAATATCCATGCCTTCGAGATCCACAATGAGCGCACTTCTGGTTTAGAGCGGCCTGTGACGGGAGAGGTCCCTGATCACCTGTTTTATGTAAATTCGTCTCAAGTCACCTTCGTCACCTGAGCCGTTCGAGATCGAATCTTTAGTAATCGACTCTTCCAAGGTCGCCCAAATCGCAAGTACTAACAGGTAATTTTAAGTTATTTATCGATCGGGGGGGGGTGCGGGTGCGTTTTGTAAAAACTTTCTCGATCCAAAGAGTACCTTGCCTCACCGCGCTTCTCTGCCTGACTCCCAGCACGTCTTCCAATTTGTCCACATCCGACAGGCGTAATATCGTGAGCTGTTCTGCCTGTTCCGGGTCTTCCAAAGTCTATGTAGTGCTTGACATGTTCTTTTTTTAATCTTGGGTGGCCCATCCTTAACCTTTATCTTCTTCCTAAGTCTAATTACGTTGAATCGGTACCGTTAGTCCAAAGGTAAAACATCCGATCTTTTCTTCGTGTGGTAGTTTCGGCAAGCAACTGTTACTCCCTTACCACAGAATCAAACTTAGAAATCTTGCAGGAGATCCTTCCAGCTTGATCGAGCTGAGCGACCCGGTTAACACTAGTTCTGAGCTGGTCCAGTTAGCAATCCACCTAAAACAAGACGCTTTTAGTCTTCGGGCGCTTGATCTCTCGTAAAGCGGTTTTTACCATGGTAACCCAACCGTGTGCTCGGTCCTCGTCTTGATCTCTTCCATAGTTTTTTAGGTCCAATTTTACTGCAAGTTTGATGCGAGCGACCAAGTTGGGATTTGTACTGCCGTAGCTGTCACCATCCTCGCCAATTGTCCCTCAAAGTATATGTCGTCCGGGTTGTACTCGCACGTACCGACTAATTCTATCTTTACATCAGTCGTAGTACGTCGTCTCGAAACTTTCGTTCGGATCCTCGGTGCTTGTTGAGCCGCTGTTACGCGCGCCTTTTGTGCCTCTGCGGTTGTCCTTCCATTTTAGTATCCTAATTGTACCTGGCCTCCCTGTAGAAATCGTGCCATCGCCGCGTAGAAGTATGTCTGCAAGTTACCTACCGTGTTGATAGGCGCGCTTCCCCCCAGTGTCTTCGTCACGTGGTGGTGCAGAGTTTCGGAAGCTACCGTGCTGTATTCCCTTTGAAAGGAAATTTACCCTATCAAGCGCTTGGAAACCCTCTTGGGTGGACACTTGTCGCTGTTTTGCAATCTTACTGATTGATCGCTCCACCCCTTGCACAAGCCTGGAGCATCGCTGCTCGTGTTGGTCCCAGTGGAATCCATGTCTACTGGTAAAGAAAAGACGAACCGTGTGACGACCGCTCATCCGCTTCGTGAACACCTGTCGGGAGAATCGGTGGTAGGGGACGAAGCGTCACTTTCGGGGTTTTGAGCTGTGATCGCGCTTGGGTTGACGTCCGGAGTCTTGGAATGTAATTTTGCTGTTGCGAGATGTTGCCGTCATAAATTGCGCTGGTGGTATGTTGTGTAACGGGACTAGAACCCGTTATGTTACTGACACTGAGGTCTTACGAGGAAGCGTGAGAGACACACGTGTAAAGGTGTGTCGTGTGGAGATCAATTCTAACTCTGGTTTTTATCTTTATATATTTTAACCTAAATCATCCTCAGTGCGAGTGGTTTCTGAGCCACTAGAGCCACTCAACTAAAAGTCGCATCCTATTGGCTGATAAAGGGTCTGTACCCACTTTCCAGAAGAGCAGGACTACGATAATTGTAGCCACTACACTTAGCTACAGTGTGTACCTACTATTTATGTGTGTACCTAGAAGAGCATACCTGAATGTATACTAGTTAGTAATGAAATTCTAACAAGTAGCGTAACGGTAACACCTCGTTATACTGCCCCTCAACTCAAAATCGCACTTAACGTGCGAAAGAACTAAACGAAGAAAAAGAATACGAACTATCTCTTCAGCACCGCGCACGTCGCGGTGAAGACAGCTTCGACTTGACAGCTTCACAGCATCATATCTTTAAGCTTTGCCAACAGAAGCACGCGTCGCCTCGACCAGTTCGCAGGCGACAAAGATGAACACGCGAACACCCCAGACAATTCGACAAGCGGCGCAACCACGATTGACCAATCACTGCACGCGTGGAGGATCTGCGGCTGAACTGGCATCCGACGCGCACGCAGCGACGACGAGATGTGCCAGTTCTGGTGGTGATGGAGAGCGACGCGGAGCAAGCCCGTCACGGTCACTCGCCGTGACTTAAGCATCACTAAGCGCATCTTGGACAGCGTACGTGACGCGATCATGGAGGCGTTGCTCCTACAACTATTGGAGTGACGAGGAGTCGATAGAAACCATCGTGCAGTCGCTGACCTGCACGAGCGGGTCTTCGACGTGTCTTGGAACGCCGACAGAGATTGCTGCTTCGTCCTCTATCGCGAGGGCTGTCGACGGTGTACGTCGAGTGGAGTGGCAGAGCCTGATCATGCTGCATGGAATCCTTTTTTCCAGATAACCTTCTTTACCGAGGAGCGCCCTCGGAAAGGACGCTACGAGCGAGTGCTGAATCAGATGCTGACAGCGCGGCCAGTCGTGCGCGCTTTTATCTAAGCGAAATTTGATGAGATTGAGTCATCGTACTCGATCTCGGTCAGCCAGTCTCTTTGCATCGCGGACCGTCCATCGTCCACAATCTCGGTTGCTGGGGACTCCATCACCGCGGCCTCACATGCCTGCAATACGTCTGAATCGTCTTCGAGAAGCGACTAAAGTGACTCCCGCGAATGACTCTCAGCAAGGAAGCCGATACAGCAATCGCGATACAGTCGTGCATCTAGTTGTTCGCGATAATCGTCACGGCGACGATCGCCGTGACGAGGAGACTCCTTCAGGTCGCGGTGATTGACAATGCGATCCACGATCCAGCGTAGATTCTCGGGGACGTCAATAAGTGGAGGGAGACCGTCGCACTGGAAGGGCGCACACGACTGCAGAGCCTGTGGAGGGTGAACTAGCCTCGATGGGGAGGTCGCGGAGCAGCTTCGCAACGTTTGGCGTCGTGTTGACGTCGTTGGCAACGACGTTCACCAGGCTCGTGACATGACGACGGAGGCGGATAGTCGCCCACTGGCGACTAAGACAACTATCGCCGGGTTTGCTTGGCGACTCGAGCGCCTCGAGCAGTAAAACGAGACGCTACGGCGGGAGAACGCGATCTTGAGGGGTCAGCGCTCGCCTGATTCGCCGAGGCCTCCGCGACATCGGGGGTCACGATATTCGCCCCCGATGCATCCGTCTGCGTCGTTAGAAGCGACGGGTGGTACCGCTTAAGACGCCCGACAAAAAAGTCGAATGTAGTCGCATAGAGGTAGGAATGTCAGGAGTATAGGCATCACCCATCGTCTTAATCACCTTGAAGGGGCCAAGACACCTTGGCACCAGTTTGTTACCACCAACGTTGGTAATAGTCGTGTCTTGAATGCCTGATGTCGAAAGTAGTACCTTGTCGCCAATGGTGAACTTCTCTTGTATGGTGCGACCGCGCTTGTCAGCGTCCGCTTTCGGTTTCTCGACAGCGTTTGCACCAGCGTCACGATCAAAACGCGTGACAACATGACGCTTTTGGATAAAGGCTTTGATGGCCGCCGAGTCAGAAAGATGTTTGCTCGGCGGCGACGCGTCTACGCACGAGTCAAGCGTAGGTGACGCTCGTTGAGAGCGTCTGAAATGGTCTGAACGGCGCGTGGAGTCGATTGAAGACTCGGTGACCCACCGTGTCGTGTCGCCGAAATTCAGTGGTCGATGATTACCTTGCGTGGATGGGAGGGTATGAGCAGTGTTCACTGCTGTTTTTAAAACTGCTGATGTCAGTCGATCTGTGACAACACAGTTGTAGGGTCGCCATGTTCAAATGGCGACGAGATCGCTGCTGTGTCTTTACTAGATGTCAGTTCGTCTACAGTGTCGCCACGGTCAAAAGTTGGCGACGTCGTCGCTGGTGCGCTGTTACTCGGTGCTAGCTCGTCTGGTGTCCCTCCCCACCAAGAGGAGATATCAGGTAGACCGAGAAGAACAGGAAAACGAGGACGAAGAGCGTTGCTAACGAAGAATGGTGTCAGTCCGGTCGAACCATGAACCTCGTTATTCATAGCAAACTTAGTCATGGTGAGAAATGCACTCCATGACGTAAACAACGCGGCGTAACTTTATAGGACGTCCCTAAGCACGCGATTTGCGCGCTCAGTCTGCCAATCTGTTTCGGAATGGGTAGCCGTAGACATCAGTAGACGCGTGCCCAGAACCATTAACAGCTGCAACCAGAACGCAGCTAATAAGTGAGGGTCCCGATCAGAGACGATCGTTGCAGGCAGACCATGGTGTCTAAAAACGAAGACGATGAGCAACGTCGCTGTGTCCTCTGCAATGATGGACGCAGCGACTGGAGCAAGATGCACCACCTTGCTGAAGCTGTCAACGACCACAAAAGTGCCGGTGCGCTCTTGCGCATCGGAGGGAAAACCAAAGGTTAAGTTCATGCTGACCGAGAACCATGCCTCGGTCGCCACTGTTAGAGAGCACAATGGAGCTTAGGAAGAAGGACTCGGTTTGACACGATGACACATCTTGCATGAGCGAACCCATTTGCGGACCCGCTTATACATGTGGGGCCAGTAGAGCGTACGAGACATGGACATATACGTCTTCTTGTAACCCAAGTGTCCACTGGTTGCACTGTCGTGGTGCTCGTGAAGAACACGAGCACGTAGATCGTCGTCGATAGAGACGACGATGCGAGGAAGGTAAAACTGATCCATCCGGTACATGAGAAAATCGCCGTTGAGTGAATAACGCTAGATCTGTGCTCGAGCCGACGCTGGAAGATCACGCAGCGTCATTTTAGACAGGTCACGACAGTATCGAACATCCGGTGCGTTGATGACATCGTGCGTGGAAGATGCCGCCTTGTCGAATCGAAGAGGGTTAAAAATTACTCCGCGTCGCTTTTACACCGAGTGCGACACAAGCAACACATTCGTCGTCATCATCATCGGTCAAAGCAGGAACTGTGATAGTAGAACGCGGATTATAGTCAGGCTGATGCTACAAAGCGTTGGCGAGGATGTTACTTAGTCCAGGCTTGCAAGGAACAACGAAGTTGTATTCAAACAAAAATTACAACCAGCGCGCCATGCGCTGGATAAGATGAGGGCTATTCGTTGCCGTGCGCAAAGAGGCATGATCGGTGTATAGTGAGAACGTCCGCTCGCCTAGCAGTTTAACGCGAAACTTGACGAGGGTACACTTTCATAGCCAGCAGCTCCTTATCATGTACAGGATAAGTGCGTTCAGGCGGCTTCAATCGGCGCGAATGATAGCTGATCACTAGTTCAGCGCCTTCGCTGTCATGTAGCATGAGAGCACATCAAATAGCGAAATCACTCGCATCCCATACCACATGAAATCGTCTAAGAGATAAGGCAGCGCCAGCACTGTCGCTGTTAAAAGTCTTCTCTTGATATCATCAAAAGCATCTAGGTGCCTTTGAAGCTACGCCCACGTGGCGTCCTTCTTCAACAGTTGAAATAATAGGCGAATCACAGAAGCAAAGTCCTTGGCATAATGATGTAGGTAGTTGGCTAGACCCAGCCTTTGGCGAGGATGTTTCTGCTCTTTTGGAACAGGCCATGAGCAGATTGAAAGGGTCTTCTACGGGTCAGCGCGAACCCCTTTCGCGCTGACACTGATGCCAAGCACCGGTATGTTTGGAGCACAGAAGATGCGTTTCTTAGGGTTGGCGTAGAGATAGTTCTCAAGCATCGCTTTAAACACTTGACGAATGTGTCCGAGGTGGACCGCGAAATCGGTCGTGCCGGAAGCGGCATGACTATGCACGAAGATATCGTCCAAGTAGCTTGGAGCGAAGTGGCGAAATGGGCGCAACGCATGTGACACTATCCGATCGAAGGCAGCAGGGCGTTATTGAGCCCCTGTGGCATCACGAGCCGTCCCAAAGTAGGCTGCTAGGCGTGCTCGCAGCGGTGAGAGGGGCATCTTGAGATCGCATCAAGATCTGATTTAAGCCGTCAGTGAGGCCAAGCGAATTGAAGATGAAACTTTCAGATATGGTGTCGAGCATCATGTCTTAAAGAGGGATCGGAGTCGGAGCTTGAATCGTCGCGTCGTTTAGCTTGTTGTAAGCGTGGACGATTCTCCATCCGTCTGTCGCTTTCGTGACGAAAAACTTGGGGCTGTAATGGGGTGAGGTGCTTTCGCGCACGTGGCCTGCCTGCTGACGCCCTTTAAAAAAGGCGTCAGTTGCTTCAACTTAACACTGTGGAAGTGGCCATTATCGTGTGACACAACATTTGGAGCCTGGGACGAGATCAATTTCGTGCCGCACGCAGCGATCAGCCGGTAAAATCACTTGAATTTTGTCAGGGTAGACATCCGTGAACTTTGGCGCTAGTGCGAGGGACGGGTTTTTGGTTGCGGCGAGCTCTTCCCATGATTGCACCGCGAAGCGCTCTCTGCGTGCCGACTTTGGCTCTATTACCTAGGGGCGCTCGTGCTTGTTGAGCGCCGGGTCTCGGACGACATCACATAGTTGTTCGACATCCGCCCTATTCAAATCACTGAGCAAGTCTTCCAAACAAATTTCAGGGAGATGCGTGATGATAGACTCAGAAGGAGGGGGTTGCAACCCTTACGGGTTGGCTGGTGGGGGCAATGCCTGTCTAATTGACAACGATAATAGTCTCGAGCAGGGAGAGCTATGCAGACCCAGCGACCCGGGGACTGCATCAAACCCAGATCCGTCGTCACCGACGGCGGAGCGACACTGAAGCTCGGGCCGGGCGGTAGACTGTGGTCGCGGCAGCAGTGGCTGCCACGACATTGACCGGAAGCCTCAGCTACGGCACAATGTCATCATCGTGGACAGAAACGGGAGCCAATGTTTGCTCAAGACACACCGAATGTACTGGGGTGTATCGTTACATAACAATTTATAAGAAATTGTTAATAGAATATAACTATAAGAGTTATATTCTCAGAATGTTGTCACAAGGACAAATATTCTGTAGCACTTACGAGTAGTTCCTAATTGGTTGATATATGCCATTATATCAACCAACGAAGACACGCCACGACAGACGCACGCAATGAGTGGTGAGCAGATAGTTGATATGCACATTTGTATTTAGACATAGTTAGATGAAGATAAATAGTGGTTTATTAACAGACATTAACTATGATAAATACAGTTCTACTTTTTTCTTAAGCTAAGTACTCGCTTCTTCTTACCGTCTTCCTCTGCACGTACGAGTGTACGTGAAGTTACGAGGCACCGCCTTATTCTGTCATCAGAATAAGTAGCTTGTACTGTCACCAGTACAAGCTTCAGGGTGCCCCGTTACACCTGGTAGCACTTCGTAGTCCGTCCAAGGACCACGTTCACATCTAACATGAATATGTTGGATGATGAAGATGACCAAAGCTTTCACGCTACGCGTGACGGCTACTCCCATTTGAGCAATGTCGAATGGGATGCGGTTGAACGGATGGGTTTGACCATGGGCATCCATGCTGTTAGCGTCATGCTAGAGGTTCTCAATAGAGATGACCAACATGCTACTATCGCCAAGTTCATTCAAAATGAACTCGACGCAGAACGCGAGAAAGTAGCCTTGCTTCACCAACAAGGTTCTCAACAAGCAGAGTTGTTGAGAGAACAGGGTGAACAACAGTTTGAACTGTTGAGACAGCAGCAGGCTGCTGCTGGTGGGTCGATGCACTCGCGTCGACTCGAGACCTTGAAGATTGACATCTCCAAGTATAGGGGAGTCGAAGAGGACTCCCTCTTAAGATGGTTCGTCGAATTGGATGACGCCATAAGGGCGCGGCGCATCAACGACGGGGATATGCAAGTTGCATTTGACCAGTCAAGTCTGTCAGGACGTGCCAAGACTTGGGCACTGGGGCTCAAGTTGCACGACCCATATGCGTTTGGGTCGTTGGAAGTCTTCAAGTCGCGGCTCAGACAAACGTTTGAACCGCCTAGAGCTGAGTTCAGAGCTCGAACCAAACTCTTGAAGCTCAAGCAAGGTAATCGTGATGTGCACGGTTACGCGCAACATATACGACATCTTACGAGTTGTATAAGTTCCAATCCGGTGGATGAACACACGTTGGTTTCGGTGTTCATGCAGGGTCTTGCGGATTGTCCCGTCAAGACTCACCTGTTCCGACTTGAACTAGATTTACTAGAACAAATCATTTCCATTGCAGAACAGCAAGACTTCAGTCTGAGACAGGCTTGCGCCAGCTCGACATCATATCGTCAACCGAGACGATATGACAACGGAGGTCCAGAGCCGATGGAACTCTGTTATGTAGAGAGCGAGAAGGCTCGCTCTACAGACTACAAGAAGTTGCAGAAATGCAACAGATATTAAAAGACAGGACACTACGCTTACAAGTGTAGTGTCCCTCGTCCAGTGTCTCGCAACACTGAGCGTAGTGACCGTCCACCCATGAGAAAGGGGCAGGGACGCGGGTCCGCTGTTGGTGCAAAGACGCAACAACGGGATGGACCGTCAAAAAACGGACAGAATCAGTAGGTGCGGAGCACCCTACTGGTCCAGCAACGTCAAGAGAATTTGTAGGCCTCTTGATGAAGGTTGCTCCCAACACACAAACGTTGTGCGTTGCTGCTCTGGGTAATGAGGTCTCACTCATTACCTTGAAACTCGAAGTGACGAATAAGTTGCCCCTTCGAGCTCTAGTCGATTGTGGGGCGTCCAGCAATTTTGTGCGACGCCAATCGCTAGAAGATGGTCACTTTAAGTTCAGTGAATGTGACACACCTCCTACGAGGATGACGGTACGTCTTGCGACAGGCGCATCCGTAACCGTCATGAAGCGTATAGTGAAGATCCACTATACGCTGGAAGATACCCAATATGACGATGACTTTATCGTATTGGATTTGGATGACAAATTTGATGTCATCCTTTGAATACCGTGGCTCAGAAGGTACGAACCACGGGTAAACTGGCAACATCGAACAGTAACGATACCTGCCGCTTGTTCATCGGATGGCCATCTGATGAACGTTTTGGAGCGTCCACAAGCGTGTGGATGTACTACGAGTGAGTGCGATGGCCTAAATTGTGGTACGGTCGTTATTACGGCTGCACAAAACCTTAGTGTAACAAATGATTACACTTCGGAGCAAAGTCCCGGCGGCTGTAAGGAAACACAGGCTGCGCCGAAGGTCCACCACTCGAATAAGTCGAGTGGACCGGGACAAAGATGTGTCCCTAGCGGGGAACATCTAGATGAGAAACAATCGATTGCTCAGGTTAAGCGAAACGATAATTCTAGATCGACTGGAGAGTCTTTCGTAGAGGATCTCGATATGGTTGCGCAACCCCAGCTAGAGGAAGTTAAGGGAATAAGTCTCGATATTACAAATACGGCGGAAATAAGTTCCCCGAAACCCGCGGGAATAAGTCCCCGGGAAGCCGAA